TGTGTGTGTGTGTGTGTGTGTGTGTGTGTGTGTGTGTGTGTGTGTGTGTGTGTGTGTGTGCATATCCACATTAACCCTAAGCCTTTCGTGATTCAGGTCCTTCGTCATTACCCTGCTGTCTCCGTTCCTTACAACCTGTTCTCTCCTCTCCCCACTGAATGCCTCTTCCTGACTTGCAATCTCAACTTCCCCACCTTCTCCAAATCCCCCTACACGATCTGCATTCCTTACCCTGTTCCCTGATTGGCTCCTCCGCATTCCGACCTTCTCCTACTCCCGATCCCACATCCTGATCCACCACCCCGTCCCGTCCCGCGCTGCCCATTCCCTTCTTCGCAAATTGGGTCTCCGACCCCCATCCTCCTCCCATTTACTTAAGAACCCTCCTCGACGTCCACACCCTTCCTCGACGTCCACACCCTCCTCCGCATTCCGACCTTCTCCTCCTCCCGATCCCACATCCTGATCCACCCCGTCCCGTCCCGCGCTGCCCATTCCCTTTTTCGCAAATTGGGTCTCCGACCCCCATCCTCCTCCCATTTACTTAAGAACCCTCCTCGACGTCCACTCTCTCCTTAACGCCGGCAAACTTACCCTGCACTGCATCCTTCACCCTATCGCAGTGACTCTCCTTCTGCTTCCTCTGCCGTAACATGCCATTCTGCCCGACACAATCTCGAGTCTCTCATCCTCCTGACCCCGCATCCTCCCCCTCCCCCTTCGTCCTCCTGCTACTCAAGCCTCTCAGGTTCTCGATGGCGCCCTCCTCCTGCCCAGACACTTGACGTGCCCCTACTGTTCCTTCTTCGCATGCCTCTCCGCATTTCATGGCATGATCCCCGGCCCGCGTACTCCTTCGGAGAGCCACAGCGCGCAAATCCGGTCCCGCTTGCAGCATGACACCCACACAAGTCGCAGCCCTGAACGTGGATGGAGAGAGAGCGAGCGATTGAGAGAGAGAGAGAGAGAGAGAGAGAGAGAGAGAGAGAGGAGGGGGGGGCACAGGGGCTGTCTCTTA